GAACATCAGCAGGAGAGGACTCTTTAAAGTAGAGACACTACATACTGATATACACCTGAACATCAGCAGGAGAGGACTCTTTAAAGTAGAGACACTACATACTGATATACACCTGAACATCAGCAGGAGAGGACTCTTTAAAGTAGAGACACTACATACTGATATTTACCTGAACATCAGCAGGAGAGGACTCTTTAAAGTAGAGACACTACATACTGATATACACCTGAACATCAGCAGGAGAGGACTCTTTAAAGTAGAGACACTACATACTGATATTTACCTGAACATCAGCAGGAGAGGACTCTTTAAAGTAGAGACACTACATACTGATATACACCTGAACATCAGCAGGAGAGGACTCTTTAAAACAATTGAAGGGCTTGAGACTCCAACATTCCCTCTGGATACATCCATTCAATTCACAGACACCTCACTGTTTGTTAATCCAAATGACTGTCAGATGATCAATGGCATGTCAGCGTCCCAGAAACCCTCTTTTCTCCGAAGAGGCCCAACTGCCAATGTCCCAGATGGCTTAACAAGTCCAGTTCATTAAAAACAAAATGATCAGAGCCCTCCCATCCAAACCCCAGAACACAGAGAGCGAACACCAGATGAGATAAGCGGTGGCTTATTTCCCTTCGACAGCTGTCCCCTCCCTCCTCAGACCCAACACAAAGTCATTAACTGATTAGACTTTGTGTTAGTTTAGATTAAGAAAGTTCAGGATTCCAGAGGGGGGGATGCATTGTTGACACATTTGCATGCGAGGTAAACACGGCAGCTTCAGGTGTGTTTCGGCTCTGTTGTGAAAAGGTCAAAAGGAATGAGAAGCCATTTCTTTTTCCCAGTTGTTCTCTCGGGACAATGACGGAGCTGAAACAGAACCAAATCAGAGCCTTAACCTTTAATACGGACATTGGTACATTGCATTTAAATGTCAGGATTTTGCTGAATATAGTCATTTTGCATGAGGTCACTAACATACACAACACACAGAGGTAGTCTGGCACCATACATGCTTTTTTAACTGTAGGGCTGGGTGCAAATATAAAGTTTACTGTTGATGAAAAATACTGACAGTGATGCTTTCAACCTTTAATACCTTAAATATTGTAATATGTACAGAAATGTATACATTAATATACTTTCATTACTTATTTTGGTTGATACAAACATACAGTATGTTCTCTGTATTCTTATCTGATATGTATAACTTTTAAATGTCATTTTAACAACTAAGATTGTGTTAAAAATAGGCTCTATTTAATTAATCTTATGGAGCATTCGAAGCCAACTTTTAATACTTAACATACCCATGTCCTTTGTGGTCACACACATCATTACAAGGGCTGAAATGTACTGCATTTGTAACATTTCACTTGTTTCGGTTAACCAACATTGATGTGGTATTTAATGGGGTTTTATTGAACCCTCAGACATAGTTTATGATCTTATAAATCTGTCTGTAAAGTGGTGTGACCATGTCAATGTTTATAAAAATAACGCCAATCTTTGTCTGACGGATCTTTTCCTGACTCAGCATTTCTCTCCTTGTGTTAGAGGAGTTGAATGAGGGCTATTTCAGTTGTTTTTAAAACACCTTTGCTGAGCCACATCCCCCTTTGTGACGTTTCTCTTCTCTGGAAAATGACTTAAGGCGACGACAGTGCAGACTAACTGGTTGTTCAGCAGCTGTCAGCCAGTGGAGGTTGTGCATTACGTTGTGTCAGTGATGACATGTTGTCTCTGTTCAGTGTTCTGCTCACAGTCTCTGTTTTCTAAATGCTGTAATGAAAGTGCAATCAATTCTTTATTCCTGAATTTGCTTTGGCCTGCAGTTCCTCACGGCAGTTCTGTTCCTTTTAAGGCAGTGAGGCTTTCTGTGGATAATATGAAATTCACCAGGAGCCTGCATGGTTTGCCTTGGCTTGTAGTCGAAGTGTTATCTTTGGTTTCAGCGTGTATGAGTGGTCTTGCGTAAGCCCTTGTTTTGCATGCATCATCATCACACTCTGCTGGCTGCCTCCTTTAGCTAAGTACCCAGGTTGTCAATAAATGATTTATCCTCCTTCCTCACAAGAATATAACGCTCCCTCAGTGTTCTTCGATGTCTGAACATAGGACTCTTTGCTTGGCGTTTTACAGCTGTTTTGTTTTTGCATGACCAAACTTCCTTCAAGCCTGTTAGTTTACCCTGAATATCTCTGACATTTCTAGGGATTGTTTTTCATGGATTTGTCTCTTGCGGCGATGCCACTGAAACTTAATCTGTTTGTTCAATTTGCTGTCCTCCTTGGCAGGAGAAAAACATCCAAATCATGGCATATGAAGCTAATCCATCAGGTATATTGTCCTCATATATATATCGCCTAAGGCTGGCCACATAAGCTGTTGTAAGTCTCAAAGTACACTGCAGCAGACGCCCGCCCACTCCCCTCCATTTATTGCGATCATCGCTTGACCTCATTGCTAAATGCAGCTTTCTCCCATGCATTTAAATGAAGCGGACCATTATCAATATTGATGACCGTTCATGTCTCTGTTGACTTAATTTTCTGCCCCCACTTAAAAACCATGTGGCCCGCGTCTCATTGGCAAGCCACACAGTGCATACAATATGGAAATAAGGACTACTGTAGAGGAGAGTGAGCCTAAATAAGTCTGCAGTCATTAAGTACGCTTGATTCTAATCTCTTCACTAAGATATCAAAGAGATTTGGAAACGATCTGTTGTGTACAATTTCAATATTCCCACGTATTAAACTTAAAGTTTTAGTAGAGTTGTTCTCAGGACCATTCATTGGAAATGACAGTGTGTGACTTTGAATCAATGCAGGTGTCTCCACATCTGTGTGCGAGCTGTTTTTGTTTTTTCTGGTTTTTTCTGCCTTTCTGTGAGATCGCTTGTCAACCACGTTCTGCTGTTTTGTAACATTTCATCTTTTCTCTTAACTTTCATTTCATTTCACTGTGGCTTTGTTTATTGAGTTGACATTATGCAAATCAATGTCTTTCTTTTGTGTGACTAGTATTTCAGGATGAATGAATCACTTCACCAGCCAACTGTCTTCTGAAAGGTTGCATCGTGTGCACGTCTGTGGAGGTGTCTAACATCAAGTGCTGCAAATATAAAAAGCTGCAAATTGTAGTTTTTCTTAAATGCTAACCATAAGAACTATGAAGGAGTGAATTGAAATGTATGAGTGGCGTGTGGCGCAGTGTATAGCGCCTTGGTGTTGGGATCAGGGGGTCACAGGTTCAAACCCCACTGCAGTCAGCATGTCGTTGTGTCCCTGAGACACTTCACCCCAAATTGCTCCTGTGGGGATTGTCCACAGTATTGACTAAGTCGCTTTGGATAAAAGCGTCTAACAAGTGACATGTAATGAATTGTATGTATTGTCATTTCGACTAATATTTAGCAGGATATCGCAAAAACAAGCAAACAGATTAAAGTTTGCTGGAAAAATCCGCCTTTCTACAACATACGGATCAATAAGTAAACGGGTGTGCATCCAGTTTCAGGACGTTTCTCCTTTTATTTTATTCAAATTTGACCGATTAATTATTTGATTTTTGTGAAATCAAATTTTCCACCATTATGCATTGTTATTTTTGGTGCGGATAAAACAAGTTATATAAAATAAAACGGCAAATGTTAGATTGGACAAATGTGTGATTTCGGATTGCCATCAAGCTTTTAAGTCTAATTATTAGCTTTTTCCCATTTCTTATACTTTCCTGGATAAGTATTTTCTTATTATACTTTGTACAATTCATGTATTTAACAACTGTAGCTTAATGTGTCCATCAAGCTCCATGATCTACTTCTTCTTCCTTCCTATCCCTCCATCCGTTAATTCTGAAACCACTTATAATTGTCAGCGTCATAGAGAGCTATAACCGGTCCTAGCATGTATTGAGTAAGAGGTTGGGTACAGTACGGCTCGGACACGTCTCCATTCCTCCCTTACTGACCTTTAACCTCAGTAATTAGCGCTGCCTTCAGGCCCGGTGTCAGAGCGGGTGAAAAGGCGTTCTCCGTGTAGGCGAGTTTTTAATTGTGCCAAGCCACCTATGAGAGACTTTGCCTTGTCTTTGTGTGTCTTCCTCTCACTTCAGCAGGGACACTCGATCACATCGCCACACTGACATAAGGCGGCGCATGCTAATAGGAACTTAGCTGCCACCTCTAACATGCTGCTGCTAATTGTTGAAGTTTCCTCGTTAAACCGCTCGATTCCTCTACGTATTTTTACTTGAGATTAGATTTGTATTTGAATAACTACTTTTCACACTTGTATAATGTACTGTAGTATATAATATCCTTTGTCTTTTAGTAGTAGGTCTGTCTATCACAGTATATTTTATATTGTGTATTCTAGAGATATATATCTTTCTACTGGCTCATGTGCAATACCTTGTGGACATGCTGCTGTAACAAAACAATTTACAATGTGTGATCAATAAATTAGATTATTTTAGATTTGATGTATGGGTTATCGTTGTTCACAGCAGGATATGTATTAACATTAAATATGTACATATCAACTGTAGAAAGAAATACATCTATAGAATATCTATAAAGGGGCACATGTATATTCAATAAGTTAGAATACACTATAATAAACCACTCTACTTTTAAAAATATATAAACACATGAAACAAAAACGAAAAAATGAAATGCATGCAAATTGTTAGGGTTATTAAAAACAGTGAAAGTATATCAAATATGGTTTGATTCGATATACTAGCCCAATGGTTAGGAGAACTGTAATATTCTCCATCCTCTAGCATAGGCTCAAGCGGTTTGCATTGTTTTGCGTAGCTTATAAATGTGTCTGTTTGTGTATATATAGGATATACATATTTTAATGTATTTTTATATTGGGGCTTGTGGGAAACAGTATTTTGATCCCTCTGTCTTGTACACGCAAACTGAAAGATGTCTTTGACCTATACATTGACGTGTCCTCACCCTGGTCTCTCTGCAGGTGGGAGGTGATTGATCTGCGGGACATGTGTTTCTGGTGAGGTTTCATCGTCGTCCGCCACCATGAGGCCCCCCCCCCTCCTCCTGGCTCTCACCCTGGCCTCCTTCCTCCCTCAGCTGTCCTCCGGAGGCACGCCCTTCCCCCAGGACCTGGAGCCCATCAGCATCGTGGGCAGAGAGTGTGAGTTCAACAGAAATCTGTTTCAAAAAGTGTTGCCATGGTTGCAGGAGTAAAAAATGCAATGTAGAAGTACATCGAGGGTCACTAAGGCATAATAGCAGCACCCGGGAGTGAGGCTTATAGCAGCCGGTGTGTTTCGAGGGCATGTTCTCAGCGGGACGTTTATTCAGCGGCGGGGATATATTTATTTCTTCCCTTTTGCTTCGGATGTTTAAAATCAAGAAAATATATCAGCAAGAAAACCCATGTTCCAGTCAAAGCTGAGGGACAGTTTGTAAGGGAGTAATCCTAACTATTTAGAGAAGCAAAATAATATATCAAATAAGAAGACATATGTTGATGTATGACTCTACTTTAGTGACACTTTAACTATAAGGTTAAAACAAAACAGTTCTTTGGTACTGTCGTTGGTACCAAAGAAAGGGCTGGGATATATGTATTCCTTCCCTTTGGTGTGGATGTTTACAATCAGGAACTATATCAGCAAGAAAACACGTTTTCTAGTCAAAGCTGAGGGACAGTTTGTAAGGGAGTAATCCTACAAAGACATATTGTGTTTATGTTACTCTAAAGCAAAGTAATATGTCAAATAAGAAGACCTTATTTGATATACTACTCTACTTTAGTTACACTTTAACTATAAGGTTAAAACAAAACAGAAAACCCATTAACAATCATTTGTACCCAAGAAAACAAACAAATGTTTATTTTGGATGCGTTTGCTCCTTTATCTTGATTGTTTTTCTGAACAACTCTTATGTGTTTTTACAGAGACAAATGGCTTGAATCTGCTTAGTTTGTTTGTAATGAGGCTCTGTTCCTAAACGGTTCCTTGTTTGCAATATTTTGATATATTAATGCTACTGAGTTTATTTATTAAAGGGGACCTATCATGCAAAATGCACTTTTGTACGTCTTTTCCACATGAATATGTGTCCCCGGTGTTCCAGGGAACTCACCAAGTGTCAGAAAACACAACCCTCTCTATTTTCCTCCATACCCAAATCTCTAAAAAAGGAGCTGCAACGGATCTGATAAAAACTGATCCAGATTTGAACACTGTCCTGACGTCAGGACGGTGGCGCTACGGCTATTGGGCCAACTCCACCAATCAGGAGGAGACAGCCACGGCCATTGCCGTTCGAAAGCGCTGGAGACGCTGTAGTACATATGCCAGGCCTGTAGATGGTGCTGTTCTCACTGAATCTGCCCTTGCAAAAACAGAGCTAAAAAATGTCAAATTGAGCAAAATGAGGCATGGCTAAAATGCATGATCTGTTTGGTATTTTGAAAAAAAAAAAGTGTACTGTAAATATGCCTTATATAGGTATGGTCCTACACTATATTATTCAAATATAGCATGATAGGTCCACTTTAAGACAACATTTGCATCCATTCTCTCCACAATGGTTTGGTAACAAACTAAGTGACTAAAGTGTCATATAATGATGTTTATAAAATGTTTATTTAGGATGCTGCTGCTCAGTCCCAGTTGGGTTTTGGGTTGGCTTGAAAACTGACAAACTGACTCTGGTGCAGACACAAGATTCATTTCTGAATGAGTTACCCACGGCTTTATGTTCCCACCTGTTGTTTTGTTGTTAATCAAATTGTGCGAACACAACAAAGACCAGAATTAAAAAGGCAATATTGGATCTTGTTGTCCTTGGTACCAACTAGGGATGCCAGAAACTGACCATGATCAAATTCGAAAATCGGACAACCCTGCCGAATATTAATTGATTATTCGCCGCCCCCCCATTTTTCACTTTTTAGAAGAAATAGTTTTCTATGATCTCACTTTCTTTCTACTTTCTTTGTTAACTTATCCTTTAGTTATTCCAAGTGCTTCATGCTAAACGAACCCCCCTTTGGAAAATTCTAATCTGCAACCCAATCTTCCGAAAGTTCAACGGATCCTGGCCATATTTGTGTAGCATATACAATTAATTTGCTCCCAGACATTCATGTCTTTTGACTTTCTGTTTGATAGGAGCGTGCCCCACCAGAGTTTCCGTTACAATTTTTTTTTGACGGTCAACATGTCCGTTAAAGTTGAAATCTTCCAGACAAAATCACATAAGTGCCGGTCAAAGGTCTTCTTTGTTATTTATTGAGCTTTAAAACAAATTGATATGATTCGATATTAAACAATATCTGTAGATATGTAGTAGATTAACTACATTATTCAAAAGTGTACAGTAACTTACAATAACACGGGAATAATAACACAAGAATAATAAACGGAGCGCTCTCTCTCCCTCTCCTGACAGCCCGTCAGTATCATGCAGCTCACGGATCCAGTAATGAGTGACCCGACAGTAAATCTAAACGTATCTATAACTAGTTTAGGTAGTTTGAGAGGTAATTAAAATAGCTACGTGTGATTTTCTAACCTGAAGTGTGTGTGTTGCTCCGCTCACCGCTGCAGATGATCATGCAGAGCTGCATGTCGACTCGTCAGCAGCAGCTGATCTCTCTCTCCCGTCAGATTAGACTTCACTCGCGTTTATGTCCATATCGATCAGATCGAGCTAGTTCTAGCTAATGATATGACTACCTGCTTATCAAGACACCTCAACAATAAGCGTCGCTATGCAACCGGGTGAGGCCACAAAGTATAGTGCAGCATTATGCATTTGTTTACATGCCCACCGGAGGCATTACCAACAGATCAACGCACAATCAACCCATACAGGACATCTCTTTCTCCACATTAAGTGTTAGACATTAGAATTGACTCTTCTTGTCTGTCACATACTCTTCTTGTCTGTCACATACCCTTCTTGTCTGTCACATACTCTTCTTGTCTGTCACATACTGTTCTTGTCTGTCACATACCCTTCTTGTCTGTCACATACTCTTCTTGTCTGTCACATACTCTTCTTGTCTGTCACATACTCTTCTTGTCTGTCACATACTCTTCTTGTCTGTCACATACTCTTCTTGTCTGTCACATACTCTTCTTGTCTGTCACATACTATTCTTGTCTGTCACATACTCTTCTTGTCTGTCACATACTCTTCTTGTCTGTCACATAAGTGGCGCAACTGATGCGGTATTGTGCTAAGGGGAAATTATTTTGACCGGAGAGATTTAGATTTGCCGGTCTTCAGCATATTTTACCGGTCAAAGTCCGGTAACTACCGGCTAACGGAAACTCTGTCTCCTACCTAAGGTTAGTTTACGGGCACAACCTCACAAAACCCGCGTGTGGGGACCTAACCCCAATACACCTAGGGGACTTGAACCACCTGATAAAGGCTGATGACGAAGTATCGCTCAGCCCTTCCAGCTGCAGAGAGTTCAGCAGCAGCAGCCGCACATAGATAAGAGTTTGACTGAGGAGCTTCTTGGACGTCTGTGACTCTGAAGAAACCGCTTCATCGGACCCTGGCACCCAATCACTGGGGAGGTCCACGTTGAGGTCCCGGCTCTAAATGTAATGGCCCATAATTGATTTAAGAGGTGGCCGAGACCATGGCCCACACACTGTAATTGATCTATCTGGAAGAGAGTAACGCAACCATTAGCAGGAATAGCTGCGCTAATAGTGCTATATGTGGAGCTCCATCCCAGGTGTAATGAGAGCAATTTATCACCTCTGGTTCCTGCAGGTGACAGCGGGGCACGAGGTCCCGCACATCTCCGCCAGACGTCCATTATGAATGGTGGTACTTCATGGGGACGAAGTCTATAATATCATACTCACTACTTCTTTCTGGAAGTGGACAGACGACTCAGCTCAGCAGCTTGTCTTTTCTGTGACTGCTGAGACTGTTGGAGGCAAGAAATATAGATAATAATGCAGGAGTTTCTGACAAAAGAAGCTGCTGCCATGTTGGATCTTATATTAAAGTCTGCCTCCAGGCACGTTTTGAAGTAAGAATACTCCGCTATGATTCGTGCTGTCTTTAAATGGTTCCTAACAATAAAAAAGGTTTCACTTATCTCAGAAAAAGGACTGAAATCAAATCAACTTTTTCTCCTTCTTTGAGGAATTTTACTCCATGTGAGAGTGCTTGTGATCTTGGAGCTCCAAATCAAAGAGTTCTGGGATTCTGGACTATATGTTCTCCATTAGCGGAACGATCTTAGGGATTCAGCCGCACATGCTTGACTAGCAGACAAATGTAATGTTGTGTTTGGTTAGCATATTTTATTTGTTTATGTTTGCTAGCTTGTAACTGGCAGTGGCCGAACTAGTGTTGGTGGTTGTGAAACGTAATATCTATTGTTTTGTTTGTGGTAGAGAGAGGAAAGTAGCCGCAGTTTACATCCACAAACTGCTCATTCTACCATGTTTGCAGCAGTCCAAACTTCCCCTCCGCTAATCCTTACAAAAATAGCAAAGAGGTGCTCCTCCCCCCGTCAGGAGACGAATTTCGCTTGTTTCGTGATAAACTACACGGATACAAGACAGTATACTCAAGGTCAGACATTTCGAGGACATATGAGAAAAACACATTTTCTAGTATTCACTTTATTCCCCAGAATGTCATTCTCAGCCGGATGCAGAGGCTCCATAAACCATGTCCTGCCGATTAATGTCAAACTGTGATGTGGAGGGCAAAGTTATAAAGTATATTATACGTTTTTTGTCGCAACTAAGGACTGTCCACTAACATTAAACACACGATGGCTCATCTCATCTACTCTGTGATCATTGAAAATAACTAATCTCTTTTGAATGGTGAATTAATCCCATTTTTTTTGGAGCTAAGCCATAATGGATCTATAAAAAGGGTGTACGGTTTGACTTTGCCATTTACAGAGTGTATTTCATTTGTCTTTTTATGTAAATTACTATATTGCTGTATACTATAACACATATTCACAAAGAGGCTACATTATTGTCCAGGAGATATGATGACATTTAAACCCTAATACAGCTTTTTTATAAAACCATTTAGAGAGTATTGTACAACTCATTAAGTATTTCAAGGTGATAAAAAAACAGCTAAGATTAACACTAGACGTTGACTGTTCTTTTCACGAAATATGTATTTGCACATTGGCCGCCAAATTCCTGGATGACATTTTATTAAGTGCTGCAACTATTTATTTTCATTAGTGCTTCATCTTATTACAAATGGCCCTTCACAGTCTCCTTATCCTCCAGATGACCTACCAAATGTTTTTAAAAGACATTGCGTTTACTGTTATCTGATACAAGGACTCTTGGGTCATTTTGCCTGAAAATGACGGAATAACTATCAAAATAGTTGCTGATTAATGATGCAGTGGCAATGATGGTCTGAATAAAGGGGCCCTATTCTGCTCTTTGGTGGTTTTCCCCTTCCTGTAGTGTGATATTTAGGTTTGTGTGCATGTAAATGGTCTGCAAACGCTAAAATCCCAATGTTTCCTAAATCCCAAACGCCTCCATTGGACTCCGTAGAGACACTACATACTGATATACACCTGAACATCAGCAGGAGAGGACTCTTTAAAGTAGAGACACTACATACTGATATACACCTGAACATCAGCAGGAGAGGACTCTTTAAAGTAGAGACACTACATACTGATATACACCTGAACATCAGCAGGAGAGGACTCTTTAAAGTAGAGACACTACATACTGATATACACCTGAACATCAGCAGGAGAGGACTCTTTAAAGTAGAGACACTACATACTGATATACACCTGAACATCAGCAGGAGAGGACTCTTTAAAGTAGAGACACTACATACTGATATACACCTGAACATCAGCAGGAGAGGACTCTTTAAAGTAGAGACACTACATACTGATATACACCTGAACATCAGCAGGAGAGGACTCTTTAAAGTAGAGACACTACATACTGATATACACCTGAACATCAGCAGGAGAGGACTCTTTAAAGAAGAGACGCTACATACTGATATACACCTGAACATCAGCAGGAGAGGACTCTTTAAAGTAGAGACACTACATACTGATTTACACCTGAACATCAGCAGGAGAGGACTCTTTAAAGTAGAGACACTACATACTGATATACACCTGAACATCAGCAGGAGAGGACTCTTTAAAGAGACACCACATACTGATATACACCTGAACATCAGCAGGAGAGGACTCTTTAAAGAGACACCACATACTGATATTCACCTGAACATCAGCAGGAGAGGACTCTTTAAAGTAGAGACACTACATACTGATATACACCTGAACATCAGCAGGAGAGGACTCTTTAAAGTAGAGACACTACATACTGATATACACCTGAACATCAGCAGGAGAGGACTCTTTAAAGTAGAGACACTACATACTGATATACACCTGAACATCAGCAGGAGAGGACTCTTTAAAGTAGAGACACTACATACTGATAAAATAAGTTGCAATGGTAGATAAAAAAGGAAATGCAGCATGTGCATAGACTGATAGAACCAGTTAAATACCTCCCTGCATCCCATCATCCCTCAGGTGTCACAGCGGACCTGCTCAGTGTCACTGCTCAGCTGCAGAGTTTCCAGAGGTTAACACAGGAGAGAGATTAATGTAAAATACTTTAAGAACTGCATACAGACCTCCATCCTATATCACACATTCTTCTTTTTGCATCTCCCCCATCATCTCCCCTGCTGTGTGTGTGTGTGTGTGTGTGTGTGTGTGTGTGTGTGTGTGTGTGTGTGTGTGTGTGTGTGTGTGTGTGTGTGTGTGTGTGTGTGTGTGTGTGTGTGTGTGTGTGTGTGTGTGTGTGTGTGTGGTGTGTGTGTGTGTGTGTGTGTGTGTGTGTGTGTGTGTGTGTGTGTGTGTGTGTGTGTGTGGTGTGTGTGTGTGGTGTGTGTGTGTGTGTGTGTGTGTGTGTGTGTGTGTGTGTGTGTGTGTGTGTGTGTGTGTGTGTGTGTGTGTGTGTGTGTGTCCTGAAAATGAGCATAATATGGCCCCTTTAAGGACATACACTTTAGATTTGATTCAGCCTTTGGCCGGCATGTTTTTCCAGAGGCAGTAATGTGAGGTAACCCTTGGCACCATCTCCAGCCTTTGCTCCTGCGTGTTGCCCTGAGCAATGCTCCAGCTAACCCCAGAGCCCTTAAAGGAAGTGGAAGTGCTGCAGAGTAATTAGAGAAATCCTCATTTGCCAGAGGGAGGAATTCAGAGTCTCTTCAGCAGACAGACAGCGGGGTCCACGCTCACTCAGACATTAGGCCTTGCAATCTTTAAGCAGTCAATGTGAGAGCAGGCGTTTGGGGGGGGGGGCATACGGCTCCCTGTGGAGAGTCTAATTTCCAATTGTTGTGTATTTCTATCAGGCTTTGCTAATTCAGCACGGTCAGAAAGAAAGCTGAAGGGCATTTTAATACAGTCGAGTACAGACGAAGAAATAGAAAGGAAACAGCAGGGGGAGGTCCGACGTGAAAGACAGCCTTGTGCCAGTACTCGGCTTATTTTATTTCTGCCTGGAGCATCCTTTTTTTATCAAACATTTGCAAGGCATGTCTATCTACGGACTGGCTGTCATTATTTAACCGCTGGACTCCATATCCCATTGTCTAAATCCCTCCAGTACGTTAATCTGCTGGAATATAAAAAGGCAAGATTAAATTAAAATGCACGGCAGCATGAAGGGCAAATGAAAATCAAGCAGTGCTACATGAGTTAGCATCACCGTAGCTCCTGCTCGTTCGTTCTCTTCGCACTACAGCTCAACTCACCACTTCTGTGTGAATGCACCTGATTTCTATAGACCTGACTTTTCTTTATTTGTAGAGGTCTTCCCGGGCGGTTTGTTCAGGTGAAAGGATTTAAATTGCATTCCCGACAACACCAAGGTTGACTCTAATCACCTCGGAGATACAGGAGTGCTTTTTAAATAAGATTTCATCAGACAAACATCCAGATGATTTTGTTTCCTTGTCCTCTTTTTGGCACAGCCCCCAGACATGTCCGTTAAGAAATGCTTTCCTGGAGTCGCTTATTTAAATCAGACTGACTTCTTTGACACCACCAGCTAATTTGCAACTTTGGATGCTATTTTCTCCTCTGCTCATCCACCTACACAAGAGCACATTAGCATACAGTGCAGGCTCTGGGTTTTTGGTACAGTCTCCCAACTTGAAACCTTGGTTTATTGTTAGTCAAACTGTAAAGGTTATATCTTTTCTTCAGCGTTTGATTTCTTGCGCAAACGAACTGAGCTATTTGTGAAACAGCTTAAAAAAATACATAATTACATGATTTTTTTCCACTTTTATCAAGGAAATGTTTACCAAGACCTCAAAGGGACATACTGTAACACGTTTCTTGTAGCCGAACCTTTGCTGAGGAGCTTAGACACCAAGAAAACAGTTTTGACCCAAACCCGTTTGATCTTAGAATAGAACAGCAACCTCAATTGTTTAAGTAAATTAAAAACCTATCTTTTTCATTTGGCTCATAATTTGGGGCAATTGTATTATCACTGTTCATGTGTTATTGTTTTATGGTTCAGTGATATACCTTGTTTTTAATGATGTTCCTCATTTGTTATTATCCTTTTCTGTCATACTCTGTGAAGCACTTTTGTCTGCGTCAAGCATGAAAGGTGCTATATAAATAAAGTGTATTATTATTATTATTATTAAACTGTTTCCCTTTTCTCCCTCCATGTCTTCCCCCCCCCTCAGCCTCCTACCTCTTCCCCAGCTTCCAGGGCCTGATGTCGGACAACGACACCGTGCGCCTGGGCCTGGACTTCCAGAGGATGCTGAGGATCAACCGGATGCTCTACATCGCTGCCCGGTCAGTGCTCCACTCTCACATGTGTATCACTACCGAAGATCTGATGCTGCTTTTGTTTATTTGGTTTACTGAGCCTAAAATGTTGGAGAAAAGAATTCCAGGAGCAGGCCAATACTCCAGGTGCCCTCATAACATGTTCGCTTTACAAAGGGATAACCCATACTGGTATTATGTTACACAAATGGGTCAAATCTTTGTATTTGTCAAGCTCATGGTAAGATGGTGGATTTAACACGAGGACATGCGGACATTTTTAGATATTATCCAATGGAAAAACAAACACAAACAAAGTGTACTCTACACCTTCTAAGTATCTGACAATAACAGTGTTGATGGAAATAAGAAAAATAACATCCAAAGAGTAATCAAGGACAAGTTAAAGGGACTCTCTGCTACAAAACCGCTTTGATAAAATAGGGGAAAAAATAGTTACGTTCATATCTTTTTCTTTTTAAAAACACTTTTGTTTATGACACATAGGCAATGTGTAGGCTACAGTGACCCTGAAGTATCCATTTATAGTTATATATAATGGATTTAGTTGTTTGTTTCACCTTAATTTCACCGTAAAAGTCCATTAAGCTTGAAGTCAATTCAGGTCTCATTTCCAGCGAGAGCTAGGCAACGGGCAAATGGGCTCTTGAAAGATCTGATGCTGCTTTGTTTATTTGGTTTACTGAGGCTAAAATGTTGGAGAAAATAATTCCAGGAGCAGGCCATTTCTTCAGCTGCCCACATAACATGTTCGCTTTACAAAGGGATAACTCATAAAGGTATTATTTTACACAAATGGGTACATAGTGTATAAGGGCTGCAAGTCTTTGTAGTTGTCAAGTAGGACATGAGGACGTTCTTTGAGAAAAGCAAGTGCAAAAACAGAAACGCAATGTGTACTCTACACCTTCTGAGTATCGGACAATAACAGTGTTGATGGTAATAAGAGAAAGAAAATGCAAAGACTAATCAAAGTTAAAAGGACTGTCTGCTACAAAAAAGCTTTGATAAAGTAGGCATAACAAATCTCTTTCTGACCACTTTTCCTTGTTTTGTTCATGACACATAGGAAATGTTTAGGCTACTGTGACCCTGAAGTATCCGTTTGATCTTATCATGGGTTTTATATAATAGATTTAGTTGTTTGTTTCACCTTAATTTCACCGTAAAAGTCAATTAAGCTTGAAGTCAATTCAGGTCTCATTTCCAGTGAGAGCTAGGCAACGGGCAAATGGGAAATTGAAAGGCATGTGAGGGAGAGAAATGTACAAAATGTGCAACGTCATAAGCAGAGAGGTATTCAAAAAATAGTAAAGCAGAAAGTTGGTAAACAAAAGACATGTCAACAGTAAATAACGTAAAAATGCACATTTACAGAGTTATTCATGAATCAAAATCCTGTAAATACTGGATTTTCCTGCTGTTAGCGTTGGACTTGAATGCACCTAAACTTAATTAACTATGTAAATATGCCAGACGGACCTGCACACTAACACTTCCTGTTTGCAGTTGTTGCAACAAGTCTTTCTCGTGCATCTCTCATCTTAATTGCCCATCACTGCTTCACTCTTAATCAAGATGTCGTAGGTTAATTATCTAACAAGTACAGGTTGCTCCTCCTCCACCTAAACTCCAATGTGCAAAATAAATTGAGCTTCAGTTATTGGCTCCCTCTCAAACTGCAGAGCTCTCACTGCCAAGAACCCCATCTAAAAAATGTTTATCCTTAATGTACTTAAATGGACTTCATATTTTCCACAGCTGCATACACAGAGTGCACGCCTCGCTTCACAAAGTGATTCATTCGGGCTGTGTCGATAGTTGGGAAACTTTTGAGTGTTGTGGAAAGTTTTCACAACACTCAAAAGCCAGTAAACTTAGTGTGTTAATCCACCTCCCACCAGCTTCGATCCGTCCTTTTGAAGCATTGTTTTGGTGAAATGGTTGGATCAGAGACTTATGGAGCTCTGCATTCAACACTGACGAGAAGCATGTGGAGACGCCCCAATAACGCTGTCTTTACTCTCTTCCAGGGACCATGTGTTTGCCATCAACCTTGCATCTTCATCTGAGCAGATAATCCCACAGCAGGTAGGAGCGTCTGCACACAATCCTGACAAAATGTAGTCACCACTGACACCTCTGTTTCGATGTTTGATATCCAGCATATCATCTGGCTTGATATGCGTTTGAATCCATATCGCTGTAATGAATTGTGTGTTGTCTTTCCGTCAACTGTGCAACTTTTTACATTACATTGCATTTAGCAGACGCTTTTATCCAAAGCGACTTACAATAAGTGCATTCGAGCAAGAAGATACAAACTTGAAGAAAACTGAATCATATAAGTACATCAGGTTTCATAGAGCCAACACATTTCAAGTGCTACTCAACTAGCTTTAGATAAGCCAGTCCTTTATTAGTATATAAGTGCTTTGTTAGTAATTTTATTGCTCGAGGTGGAGTCGAAAGAGATGAGTTTTCAGTCTGCGCCGGAAGATGTGTAAGCTTTCTGCTGTCCTGATGTCAATGGGGAGCTCATTCCACCATTTTGGAGCCAGGATAGCAAACCCACGTGTGTTTGCTGATGGGAACTTGGGTCCCCCTCGCAGTGCGGGTGCAGCGAGCCGTTTGGCTGATGCAGAGCGGAGTGCACGTGCTGGGGTGTATGGTTTAACCATGTCCTGGATGTAGGAAGGGCCAGATCCATTCACAGCATGGTACGCAAGTGCCAGTGTCTTGAAGTGGATTCTAGCAGTTACTGAAGGGAGCGGAGGAGCGGTGTGGTGTGGGAGAATGTAGGAAGGTTGAAGACCAGACGAGCCGCTGCATTCTGGATGAGCTGCAGAGGACTTTTGTCCTGGTTTGAGTGTTTAGCATATAGCATATTTAGCATGTGGTATAAAAGATCACTCTGGGTGTTTCTCAATCGCGAGTACGCTTGCTTGGTAGCACATGTCTGCCGAGCATCTTGCTTCAGAAGCGAGTCAAGAATACTTCCTGACATTCGGAAAACAAAGAGTAGAACAGGCTAGCAAGTGTGCAGGTGTGCGTCATATGAGAGGCCCCGCCTCTTACATCTTCCGCCACAGATTTGGGGAAATTGGTCCGTGCGCAAAGCATTGTGGGGATTTTAAGACCGCGGAGTCTACTCATGTGCAGCCTCGATATTTCTCCAAACGGAGTACGCCGGGCTCGGTAGATTTCCAAGTATGCTGGAGATTGGAACAGTACTTCGGCGGGACTCGATGACGTAGTATGCTTGAAATAGTGGCTCTGAAGCAGCTTTACTCGCGATTGAGAAACACCCTCTAATAAGTGTCTCACATGCATTACTTTGTGCACCAGTCAATACTCAAATTAAACACAGAGGATGGTGTCGCATTTAAAGCCAACTTCATTCCAACTCATTACCACATGTACTCTTTAACTTTTGGCATTATGGTCAATAGACCTCATTTACACAAATATCCTCTTATTTTTTTATTTAAAAAATGTGCTTTTCACTTTAGTTAAGATCAGAGGAACGTACCTTGATCGATTATCACAGACTGGTATATGTCAAAGTTTAGTCAGGCTTCTGTTAACCTTTCGAAATTGATACAATTTGACGCTAAAACAACAGGAACTGAATGTTATGTTTTGCCTTTTATTATCAGCTTTCTGTTAAATTTCTCAATCTTACAAACTCACAACCAGGAAGAGATCTTACTCTAAATACGACATTAAGGATATGTTTGGCACCTTGTGGTCATTCAGAACCAATACCAATAATCTCTAAATGAGTAACCAGAAAAGATTAACACAATTACCAAGATTTCCTGGATTCTTTTATGTAAATAATGTTAAAATAGGTTTTAGGATTCTGTGGTCATTTAGTTGGTATTTGACGATGTAATCAAACATATTTCACATAACTGAATGCGGGGTTTTGCTAGCTAAAACTGATATTATGTCAAATATAAACACCTTCACCTGTTCAAAGGTAAGGTTTGATATAAGACTTGTTTTTCTGAACCCCCGTGTGTTTTCACGGGAAATCTCTTGTAATGTTTGTATGTCATTATTTCCCTTTCTCCCCTTGTCTGCCTTTCCGTTGAAGTATTAAGCAATCTCTCTTCAGACATATATCCAATACAAGTGCAGCGGGACTCTCGTGGCTTCTGAAGTGCCACGCTCCTTCCCATCTGAATCTCATTTGTCAAACACGATTGCACTTAAATAAAAGCCCTCAGAGGCCGCGGACTGTTGTTTCCTCGTATTTAGATGAGTGCTAAACACGGATATGCATTCTGATCAGACCCCCTCTCCATGTGAGGGAGATCTAAAAGTATTGATCTGGGTGTAAACCTGTGGCACCAAGAAATGGGAGCTTTTGAACAGTTCATCTTTTCTCCGTTACGTTATATGAGAGTTTGGAGATTGAATGTTATAAGACGATGTATTTTTTTGCCGTTTACTCGAGCCTCTGCCGCCTCCAGCGTGACAGCAGGAGCAGAGTGGGAAATCATTGAAGACTGTACCAATATAATGCTTTTTACTCTCCGAAATGACTCGTATCTCTAGAATAGGTGTGTCTTCTTCTTCTTCATCTTCTAAAATCCATTTCAAACCGTCTCTTCATCTTTTACCCTCATCACATTCTCCCCCCTCTGCTGATCTCCCTGGGCTTCGGTGGCCATAACAGAAGTAATTATTAGTAAACCAAATGGAGCGTAGACAAGGCGGGGTCCATTTCCATAATGCTGACTCAGCTGAATCGTGTCAAACCTTCACAAAGTCACGCCGGAGATGTTCCACGCATCCTGGAGGCGCTGGCTCTCCAATCAGAGACCAAAGGAGTTTTATATACGGCTCAGGAAATGATGACTAGTCTTCAGTCTTTATTGTCATTCAGTAAAAGTACTGGCACAACGAAATGCAGTTAGCATCAAACCAGAAGTGTTAGGAAAGCAGTGATGTATATATTATAAGTATTCTCAATACAGTATGTACAGTAGGAACAGTATTAGTAGGTATTAAACACTATGAAGGGAAGTATAAACCTCCTGACTGAGCTTATTGATTGTAATATTTGGACAGATTGTCTTGTGTGTGTCCCAAAAAGTATCAAACATACAAAATATGTGCAGCACCATGTAGTGCAGGGCATCCCCCCATATTTTATTTTGGTCCAAACCTCTTGAAGACCCAAACCAACAATCAATAGATCCCACTAACTAATTGTACATATGTTAAACTGGTGGTAGTTAAGATTGAGTCTGATGTAAAACCCTTTCTTGTGTATCAATCCTCCGCTGAAAATAGTCCCGAGCAAAGGCACCGTTTTCAACTGGTTGAATAATGTTTACTGAAAACTACAGAGCGCAGCTGTTTCAGGAAATTAATGAGCCTTTGTGAGAAATCAAAATGTTTATTTAAGACCTTTTTCACATAAATCTGCAGAAAGAGGCATATGGCTTTCGGCCAAGTGTGACATAAACAAAAGGGAAGTCAGAAATCTAAAGGGGAATGACTAATGCATTAGTGGGTTTGGCCATTTCACTGGATTTATTCATTATTAAACATATTGCATTCGGTAGAAATCAAGAAAAGTTTTGGTTTGAAGCCCTGAACTATTGAGATGCATGTCTGTCCTCCATCAGCTGTACCGTCTGTTAGATTGCATTCTTCTTTACGAAGTATTTTCTGATTAGACCGCTGGATGGAAAGCTTTCCAATAAAATGGAAAAGCAGCTCTGAGAAACAACAGAATAAGGCGCCTGTGGGACAAATTGTTTTTCAGGGACTTTTGGTCCAAGAGGAGTGAACCCCCCCCCCCCCCCGGCTCCAATAAGGCATCAACATGTGTTTTAGCACAGGGCGATAAGTGCAAGGCCGTGGTTCAGAACACCTTGAAGACCTGAGCAGCCAAAAGGGAAAGGAAGAATCAAAAGTCTCTCCAGTTTTGTGCCTTTTAAGGATTTAGTTTTGTGACATGTCTTTTTGTTAAATGTGTTCTTTCTTTGTTCTAAACCCTATTTAAAAGCATTTATACAAAGGGGTTAAGAGTCAGAATTTATTGCCAACAAGTTGTACACATACAAAGAATCTGCTTTGGTTGATAATTAATAAATTCAAACACAATAATAGGAATTAAATCATAAAATAGCACTATTTGAAAACAATGTCATATAATACAAAAAATAAATTGCAGTTACATTATGAAAATGTATTCAAATAAAAATATGTGCAGTATATCAAAATGTGAAGAGGGCGAGCTGTGCCATTTTAAAAGAGCTAGCATTAAACAATAATGTTTAGGAATATCCTATGTGCGTATATTAAACAATATTAAAGTAACATCTAAAGACCCAATGTCCAAATGTATTTAAAAAAGAAATGTGAATGAATGATTATAGGATATCATCTCTAAAATAAGAAAGTCATTTTCTATTACACTTTAAAAATATTTCTAATTGTGTGAGGAAATAAAGGTGTACCATTTGTAAACAAAAATAAATATATTTACAGGTAGCTACATTTCTTTATTGTGTACAAGATAAAACATTTAAAAGACAGACACTTTCCACTCATAATAATTCAAATGAGTCTCAAAAGAATCCTAGAAGCGGCCTCAAGCTCCGACTCAAAGCAGACCCCAGTCGTGCTGCACAGCTCCAAGCCATCCCATAATCCCCTCGTGTTGAAGCGTCAGAGAGCGAGACATCGAGCTCCTGTCTGCTCGTATCCTGTCAGAAACTGTTGACTGAAGAATATCTTGGAAGTGAAGCCGCAGTGTAAACAGCTGCCAGCTCCTCTGCCTTATTTATGAGCTCTGAGAAACTTCTGGTCATAATATTACCCGACAATTGAAGGTAGGACATTAAACCGTCAACTGGCGGAGCTTTTTAACTGGTTGATGGATCTTTTTTCCATTGGACGACCATCGCACAGACAGGAAGTGTGTAAACAGACTCCGGGGTGTGGGGCCAGAAGGTTAATTGGGGCTAATTGACTGCTCCTCATATTGTGTGTTGTGTGTGTGTGTGTGTGTGTGTGTGTGTGTGTGTGTGTGTGTGTGTGTGTGTGTGTGTGTGTGTGTGTGTGTGTGTGTGTGTGTGTGTGTGTGTGTGTGTGTGTGTGTGTGTGTGTGTGTGTGTGTAGTGTGTGAGTGTGTGTGTGTGTGTGTGTGTGTGTGTGTGTGTGTGTGTGTGTGTGTGTTGTGTGTGTGTGTGTGTGTGTGTGGTGTGTGTGTGTGTGGTGTGTGTGTGTGTGTGTGTGTGTGTGTGTGTGTGTGTGTGGTGTGTGTGTGTGTGTGTGTGTGTGTGTGTGTGTGTGTGTGTGTGTGTGTGTGTGTGTGGTGTGTGTTTCTATCACTGAGGACACACACCGTTTGGCTGTCCACTGTCGACGCTTCTTTGATATGTTCCCCCTTTGTTTGTTTTTCTTCTCCGCAACAGTTTATTGAAGTTAATGAGATTTTCATCACAGCTGTCTCGTAATAGCACTTGAACGATTGGGAGCAACAAAAGCTGCGATGGCGAGAAACAGCTTGTCTTTGAGCTGACAGTTGGCTGTCTGTTCATTTTTCAGAAACTGACTTGGAAGACGAAGGATGTGGAGAAGTGCACCGTGAGAGGCAAAAACAGCGTGAGTATTATCTGCCTCTTTTCTCTCTCGACTTATTTCGACAGCGTAGATTTGCAATAAGCAATGGTTCTGCAGGCAGCTTATCACAATCAGCGGCACATCCATCAGCAGACAGGCAGGGGGCTTGAGCGTAGCATTACCCTCCCCAGAGCTACATTGTAACCACAAGGATCAGCCTGGGGAATAACAATGGTGACTGTAAAACAGAAAGGAGGGTTGTGTGCAATGACAGTCAAAGGCTCTCTCGTCCTGCTTTGATTCTGTGGTTGGACCTGGTCCCCGACGCGCAGTAACATGAGTCTGTGTTCCACCTGACAGGATGAATGTTACAACTATATCAAAGTGCTGGTGCCACGCAACGACGAGACGCTGTTCGCATGCGGCACCAACGCCTTCAACCCCACCTGCCGCAACTATAAGGTAAGAAACTGTGGCTTCAGTTACTGATCGTATTACAGGACAGCTGTTATGCGTTTGGTTCTGTCACTGTGTGCGATTTCTATTGTACTTGTTGTCTTAAAAAACAAACTCAGCTGCTGTCTAGAAAGTGATGATGAAAGCAATGCATGCACAAAATACAATATTTGTTAAGTAGTCCTCTTAAAGATCCCTAATGGTTGCAAGCAGGGCTCCTTCTCACATGTCATACAACACTAGAACACATGACCTATACCCTAAATCTGATTTACAGAGAGAAGGTTTGTCTCTATTCCCAATCACCCTTAAAAAACACTTCATCCCATGCATTAAAGATCAATCAATCAATCAATGTGTATTTATATAGCCCAATATCACAAATGTTACATTTGTCTCAGTGGACTTCACAGTTTGTACAGAACATCAGTATGACAATACGACACCCTCTGTCCTTAGACCCTCACATCGTACAAGGAAAAACTTCCAGATAAACCCCACAGTTTAAAGGGGAACATGGGAGAAACCTCAGGGAGAGCAACAGAGGAGGGATCCCTCTCCCAGGACGGACAGACGTGCAATAGATGCCGTGTGTAAATTGAAAAGATAATACATTTACAACATAGTTAGTCCAAATGTTTGGAAATGCGTGTGTCTATAATAAGAAGATTAATCCACGAGGATATCCATCCAGGATTTATGATCCAGGACCACAGCAACAGCCATGACTCAGGATCCCGGCGTAGATAGACACCAAAAAGAAATTTGGGGAAGCTGGGTTATTGGGAACATGAGAGTACACAGGTACAGACAGACAGAAGGAAGAAGTAAGGTGTCCCCCGACAGTCCAAGCCTATAGCAGCTAAACTAGGGGCTGAATATAATCAGCCCTAACTATAAGCTTAATCAAAAAGGAAGGTCTTAAGCGCACTCTTAAAAACGGCTAGGATGTCTGCCGCCCGAACACAAACTGGAAGCTGATTCCACAAATGTGGAGCTTGATAAGAAAAGGCTCTTTTTATCAAGACATTTTTATCAAGGACAGCAAAACATTTCAAACACTTTTAAAACTGAACTTCCATTACATACCCCATTAGGATGCTAATGGGAATGTGATAGCAAACCCAAATTGTATGACGTATTTAGCATCACGGAGAGAGAGCATGCACATGTTGAGGGGAAACTGCATTTTTCAAAAACCATCCATACGAACAAATTCAAAACGTCATTCCATCGCAGTCATTTAAAAAAAAAATGTGTTTACAACATGACGAACATGACGCTGATGACGATTGCAGAAAAATGCACGCTAGAGGGGGGGGGGGGGACCAGAAACGTTTTTTTAAGCTTCTTCTTGCCCCTGTTTTCTGTACCTTGAATGATTTTTATTTACAGAGGACATAATATGTTCATTTGTTGTGATTGGTCAACCGGTAAGAGATGTCCCGCCCCTTAGCCAATCACGTACAATGTGTTGGGGCCAAAGAAGTGCAAGTGGTTCTATTGATACGTAAGACATACAATGGAAGTCAAAATGAGGCGTTTCATGCAGCGGTGGGAGTGTGTGAACTTTCAGCCTTTGCAGACCGTTTACATGCACTAAAACCTATATGACACACTACAGGAAAGGGAAAACCCCAAAAAGCCAAGTAGGGCCTCTTTAAGTGGAATTATCAGAGATGTAATGTCATAAACAGCTGGTCGTGGCTTACACAGAGCAGATGTTCAAGTCATCAGTAAAGACTCCCAATATGTAACATCAGACTGGAACACATGCGTCACAGGACACAGAGACAGCAGAGCATGTAGGATTATGGAATATTAGGAACAAATCATTTTAAAGGATAACGGAAAACATATGTATTGACTAATATCTGTTTTTCTACAGATACATTCTGACATACACATATATTTTTGGATCAGGACAAAAAGAGAGGGGGTATTTGTTCCTGAGACTTCCAGAGTCTCTTTCCACAGAGGGGACACGTGTTTATGTAGAAAAGACATGAAGAAGTGGATTTTGCATAATAGGTGACCTTTAAAGCTGGTTGATAAAAGGAGGTATATTTAACCACTGAATAATTACCTTAACAAAACATTACATCAATAGCGCAATTTGATAAAAAAAATATGATTTTAAACAGTAAACTTCACTTTAATTTTTTTTATTAATTTATATAAGAGGGGGGTTATTAAAAACCACATGTATCATGGAACAAGTAAAGTCAGAAAAACCTTAAAAGATTTAAAAAGTGCATTTTCCATCACACTGTAATGTTGTGTTGCACATACACCAGTTCACACACACAGGTACAGCACATCTGTGAAAGGCCACTATAGACGGAACAGTAAGAAAATACACACACACACACAAAATAAAAAACAAAAAAAAAAAAAAAAAAAAAAAAAACAAAAAAAAAAAAAAAAAAAAAAAACAGAAAACACAAAAACCAAAAACAAAACAAAAAAGAAACAACAAAAA